GATACTCTTGGTAGCTTGCCAGGCTCTCCAAGAGGGGCAGAGGAATCGAACCTGGGTTGGCCATGTGCAAGGCAAATGCCCTACCTGTTGTGCAATTGCTGAGGGCCTTAGTGGAACTAAAAGACAGAAGAGAATAAATTTGGCCCTGTGCATTAGGTGGGACAGCCTTCAGCTCTCCTGGTTGCCCAACTAGGATTTACGTTGGGATTTACACCACTGGCCCTCCTAGTTCTGGGACTTTGGATTCAGACTGGAACTCCATTACCAGCTTCCCTGGACATTCAACATGCAGACAGCAGATCATGGGACTTTCAACTCCATAAGCCAGTGAACCAATCCCTTATAATAAAGCTGTTTCCATATATTTGTTTGCTTCCTGATTTTCTTATTTCTCTGGAGAACCTTGTAATATAGTGTCCTCTGGAGCTACCCAATGTCTGGGGCTGTTCTTTTCATTTGTCTCTCAGCACCCAATACATCATTCTGAATTTCTCCAGTGTACTCTTCCCTTTTGACATACCAAGGAAAGCTTTGTTTGCTCAATCAGAAATAGAAGCTTTTTGCTTTTTCTCTGGGTAGTTCAGAAATGACAGTGATGACTTTTCAAGATTATTATTGTATTGAAAACGTTCACCCCTTCCATGCATCCACAAAGACAGTGGCAATTTTACAATAGAAGTTTAGGAAAGTACAATAAGAGGTTTGAATAACTAACAAGAATAAAGATCTTGCTTAATATTTTTTCAGAAGACATGATATTTCCAGAATTTGGCATTAAGTGAATTTCCCTATAAATTCATAAATGTAGTAAGAAAGGCTGATATATCATTATATCATGTTTCCTCCACAAGGATCATTCCTGACTATGCTCAGAGAATCATATGTGATGCTGGGAATTGAATCTGGACTGGCTGTTTGCAAAGCAAGCACCTTACACCTACTGTACTATCTCTCTTCACCTCCCCCCCACACCAACCCCAGTATCCCTCTACTAAATGGTATGAGGTCTGTTATAACCTGAGTACTATATGAACTTCTGGTTAACTACCCTGGGTTAAAGTTTTCTTTTCTTTGATAAAATGTGTAATCTTATCAACATAGAAATCCATATTAAAGGACAGTCTCCTGACCACTACTGGTAGATATAGCAAAATTTTTTCTTTCTTAGAACATCAGGAACAACATTCTGGAGGACCACTAGCAGAGAGCAGCACCCTGATGAGTCACTCAAAAGAACCAGGAACATTGAGAGACCTTTAAAGAAAGCTGACTGCCACAGAGAATTTGAGGCTGTCTCAACAAGAGTTGATACAGAGTTCTGTGAGCATGCCAAGAGAAAAGTCAAGATCCTAAGAATACAAAGCATCAGTGTTCCCATGGGCCAATTCACCAACACTGTTAGTATGCCTTGATGAAGACTCCAGCCTACAGCAATCAATCAGAGGGCTGACCATCACCAACGGCTGGAATAAATTCTTATAAGGGTATTGATGCCACAGAAGAAATGGGACAGCAAGGAGTCAGGAAGGGAAGGAAAGAGAAAACAGATCAGGATGGAGCTAATTCTCCAGGAGCTGGAATTTTCTAAGCTGAGTGATATGATAAAATGGGGTCATTGAACCATCCAACCCATAGTCTATTCTGTATTCTTGTATGGACACAAAGCCAATGCTCCCACCACTCTAGCCTTTTGGTTTTTAATATAAAAGCAAAATTCCTCTTTGGAATTCTTTCAGTTATCAAAAACAGATACTAAATGCAAAGTGGAGTGATGTAAATTTCCAAAGATCAGTGTATACTCCCTATACACTCACTTCCACTGCTAGTCCTCCCCTGCCCTGTGCCTAGCACTGAAGTTACCAGACCTTCCAAGAACCTGTCTGCTGATGTCTTTATCCTAGGGCAGTGGAAGACAGCTGGGGTGCAGAGAGAAACCTTCAAGCACCTGGTTTTCTCAACCTAACACTGAGACTCAAGCCCTTCAGCCAATCCTATCCTCACAGAATTGTATAGAGCAGCATGGATTGCTGCAGAGAAAATGGATGTGGTGAATAAAGGGCGAGCCCAAGCATCTTCTAGACCCTTAAGCAGAAGCCCCGCCTTCGTCTAGAGAGTGGGGGGAGGTGTAGAACAGGTGCTCTGGCTTTGGAACGTTGAAGAGTCAACTAGGAAAGAGGAGAGTATATTCCAGTGAGAAGTGAACATGAGAAAAGACCCAGACATGAAGGAATACAGCGAGTTCAGCACTGAAAGATGTTCTTTAAGTCTGGGGGAGGGTGAGTGGGACAGCCGGAGGGTGTGGCTGGTCGATACCTCGAAGCGGCTTAGCCCTTAACATTGAGGACTTGGGACCTTATCCCCAGGGTAATGGAATCTAATCATTAATAACTAACTAATGGGGGGAAAGCTTTTAGGCAAGAGGAAAGTGTGGTCATATTTATACTTAAAAAAATAGGGACTGGAGCGATAGCCCAGCAGGTAAGGCGTTTGCTTTGCACTCGGCGGTCCTGGGTTCGATTCCCAGCATCCCATATGGTTCCCTGAGCACCTCCAATTGTAATTCCTGAGTATAGAGCCAGGAGTAACCCCTGTGCATTGCCGAGTATGAGAAAGAAAGAAAGAAAGAAAGAAAGAAAGAAAGAAAGAAAGAAAGAAAGAAAGAAAGAAAGAAAGAAAGAAAGAAAGAAAGAGATTCTTATTATAAGGTTTGGGACTTCAGAGCTCATCCCAAGAGAGCAGGTCTAGTTTGGGAAGGAGATAATCCTCAGAACCAGCAGCAGCCTCACACACTAAGGACATGGTGGATGCCATTCGTCTCACTGCCAGGTACACAGGCCTGAACTGACCAAAAGACATTGGACCTGTGTGCTGTGACACAGCCAGGCCAACGGAGCCTGAGGTCTTGTCACTGGAAAAGTAACCATTCCTGGGATGCTCCTAGTTTTGCGTTTTCTCTGCAGAGATTTCCCTTCAAGTTTCCATTTCATTTTTCACAGTATTATTTTTGAGACATATAAATCTTTTGCTAACAGAATTCGGGAAAGAGGCAGATCTTTTTATCCACATCCAGGGCAAGATGGCAGGCAGCATAAATGCTCTAGCAGCCCTTCCAAGTTGTGAGAAGAGGAGACTGAGGTTGACTCAAGAGTGGAGGCACTTGTCCCCATCTCACAACTCATGTTAAATACACTGGTGGGCTTGTCTCAAGCCTCTACTATAAAGTCTCTCAATCGCCTTCCAGAGCCAGGGAGGCAAAATTGTTCCTATTGTTCTTGAAGCTGGAAGTCAATTTCTAAGGCACAAAATGTGTATTCTTAAAAAAAAAATTGTAAAATGTCTATTACTGTGAATGTTTGGAGATCGAGGTAAGGGTACCCTTATTATCCCCACCAAATAATTTATTTCTGCCAAGGATCATTAGAGGAAGAAAGAAACATTAATTTATACTAAGACGCAAGAAAAAGGAAGAAATTATTATCTTCAGATAAGCAAATTGTGGGGTAATAGTACGTGCCAAGCATGTAGAAGGAATTCTCCAGGCACAGGGAAAAAAAAAAAAAAAAGAAGTTCCTAGGAGCTATAGCTGATGGAGAAGGAAAATACTAGCATAGTGATTCTCATGAAACACATGAATATCCCTTCTGAGTCACAACTGAGACAGAGAATAGAAAAATTGCTCTTGAAGAAAATACAATTTATCACCAAAGTTTCTTCCAGCTCTTCTCTTCTTTGTCAAGACATAATTCTTTCATTATTATAAAATAACATATAATTCTAAAATTTGATTCTTACAATGGAATTTGGGGATTTTTTGCAAATTTTAGTCACTGAGTGGTCTTTTTTTTTCTAAATTAATTACAATGTATTCCTAACATTCATCAGCAAATATCAATTTTGATTACTCTTGGGTGAGGAGACCAGGAATGGGCCACGCAGCAGTTTGAGTCTACCCCTTACCTACAAGCTCAGGGACACTCCTGGCAGTGCTTGAAGGACAATTTGCGAAGGAGCATGGGGTTGAACCAGTGTCAGCCACATGCAAGGCAAGTGGCAAATCCCTGTACTCTATCTCCTCTCCTATTATTCTCAAGTATTAGACACACAAATCATTTAAGGGGCTTATAATCAAAGGCCAAAGCATATAAAAAAAAATCATTAACAGTTAAATGGAGGCAGGCAATAAGAGAGTAAGACAATGCCGAAAGGTAGAAGAGGAAGATTTGGACTCATGTGCAGAGAATTTGGAATTATGGGGAAGGCGGTTGCACACAGTAAGAACCTGTACTAAATAAGAACCTGTAGATAAAAATGCTTTAAAAGCTTAATATTAACCACTATTGGATCCCAATATTAAGAATTTTAGACTCAATCATTATAATTTGTTTCTAACATGTCTAAAAAAAATGATCCCTTATAAAAAAAACTTTAGAAATACCTTTATTTCCACCTTTAAGTAAAAATGTACGTAATCCATGTGTCCAAAATAATTAATAAGGAAAACGTAAAACTGAGATTAGATTCAAAAACCCATATTTCCCCCCTCTTCCAGGCTTCATATTTTTTAGAGTATATGTGATGGGAGACGGGGGGAAAAGATATTAGTTGTGTTAAAAAAAAGATAAAGTTGATATATTTCTGTGTTAAACTAGCCTTTCAGGCTTTGTGGTTATCAGTGCAAATAGAACTGTGTTTTTATAAATACAAGTTTAAAAAGTTCTTTACATTTTTACCTGAACAAGCATATTTAGTAGATTTACCCACTTGCACTACATACACCTATTTATCTACCTACACACACAATTGCAAAAGAATTGATGCAAAGTAGCACTACTAGAAATAACACAACAATCAAGGGTCATTTAATGCATTCTGAAAGTCCCATATAAGCACTCTAGTGTAATTTCTTATACCTGAGAATAATTTTTAGTAAGTCAAAAACAAAAAGGAGACAGCTTTTCAAATCTTAGTTCTCACAGTCATCAACAAGATTAGTCACTTACCTGTGAATATAACTTTGAGAAATTCAAGAGAAATAATGGATTCTATGATGGAGAGCAAAGAGATTTTACTACCTTTTTCAACTTCAGCTTTCCTCAGTATAAAGCATTGAGCAGAATTCAAGCTTTTAAAAAAACATTATCTGTTTGTTTAAGGGTCAATGCCCCAAAGGCCAGTCTAAACACAGTTCATTGACATCTGAGAAAAAGTTGAATACACTGAAAGCAATAACCCCAAACAGAGTGAACTTGGGAAGCCCTCTGAGGACACTGTTGGGCTTAGAAAATTGCTGGTTTGCCTTGGAGATAGATGAGAGGCCTTCACAGCCATGGCCTGACCAAACCACTATGATTCTGACTGTCCAACTCTTCTTTCTACGAGTCCTTTTTTAAGTTACCTAAAAATATAACAAGCATCCCACCCCAAATTACCTTTACTCTTTACTTCAGAATTTGAAAGATGACTCTCAGAAAGTCCTTAGGTAGTAAGCCCCTGAAGTTTCTGACCCTGCCTCAGCATTTCCTGGAGATAGATAACCTCCAAGAACTCCTGAAACAGCCTTTTACTCAAAACTCAGTGTTTGGATGACCCTTGCACCCTTGGCTGAGCAATCAGTAACCTCAGGTTCTACCATCAGAAGTAAATAGAGGCTAATGATTCTTTAATGGTTCTAATTAAAAGAAATACACACACAAAGTTACTCTCATGACTTTGTGTTGCCTATATCTATCCCTCTCCCATCTGTTAATTCTTCTATTTCTTAAAATGCTCTTATTTTGTGTCTCTCCTTCTTTGCCTAAATTAACCTTGTCCCAAGTGGGTCTCACTATGACTTTCAGTGATGAATATTTAAGTCAACCCTGGGCAAGTTTGTGTTAGTCCCTGGGACAGATGAAGTTTTCTCTGAAAAGGCCTTATTTGATCTTCTCAATAACTTCAGGGATTGAGTGCTATCATCATTTCCATTCTTTAGTAGAGAAACTAAAGTTATAAAGGTTGAATAATTCTCTCAAGGTCTTCAACTAATAGTTTGTGAGTCTGTGCTCCAGACCACACTATTCAAGCCTTTTTCCACCTAACTTTCTGAAGTATGGTGCACAGGTATGTGCTTATCAGCTTGTAGAAAGATTGAATTAAACAAAAAGATTATAATTTCTCAACTTGAGATTTTCTACCATTAAATTTTTCTTTTACATTAAGCATTCACTGTTGTTTGTATCTACAAGATTCTAGCTATAGCATATCTACGAGATTCTATAAGACAGTTTATGACTTTGTTCAAAATTTGTATGTTATTTTGTGTAGGTTAAAATTTGAGTATACCAAGGTTAGCAAAGAAAAATATCTGGGTATTTTTATCTATCTTTAATAGTTTGAGATGATGCATTTTTTAATTTTTTACCTTTTTATTTAAAAATTTTTATTATAAATTAAAGTTATTCATGATTCATTTTTAAGGATTCAATGTTTTCAATACCAATGTTCACTTTCCTCCACCTATGCTGCCATTTCCACTCACACCCACCTGCCTGCTTTTATAAGAGGCACATTTTTTTTTTTGGCTTTTTGCGTCACACAGGGTTTACTCCTGGCTCTGCACTCAAGAGTTACTCAGCAGACCATGTGGGACGCTGGGAGTCGAACCCAGGGTTGGCCGGGTGCAAGGCAAATGCCCTACCCGCTATGCTATCTCTCCAGCCCCCGAGGCACCTTTTTTTAAATACATAATTTTTTATACTGTGGTTCACAGTACTGTTGCTGAGAGAATTTCATGCACAATACCTTACTATCTCCTAGCCTTCACTCTTCTTCTTTTTTTAATTGAATCACAGTGATATAAACATTTACAGAGTTGTTCATGATTGGATTTCAGTTATGTAATGTTCTAAGCCCACCCCCTAACCAGTGTACTTTTCCTACCACCAGTGGTCCCAGTTTTCCTCCCCCCACTCCCCCCCCCCGCCCTCCCCCCACTCCTTTCCTGCCACTATGGCAGGCACTTTTCTTCTCTCTCTCTCTCTCTCTCTCTCTCTCTCTCTCTCTCTCTCTCTCTCTCTCTCTCGTTTTAGGCTTTATGTTTTGCAATACAGATAATCAAAGGTTATCAGGTAAATCCCTTTACCTACTTTCAACACTCAGTTCCTGTCAAAAGTGATGATTTCCAGCTATTATTGTCATGTTGATCCCTTTTCTATCCTAACTGCCCTTCACCCCATACACAGTCTTGTGGCAAGCTTCCAGCCATTGACTAGTCGTCCTGGTCCCCGTTTACCCTGGCTTTAGATATTAGACTCATACTATAGATATAGATTTAAATCCCAAAAATGAATGCAGTCATTCTATACCTGTCCCTCTCCTTCTGACTTATTTCACTCAACATGGTAGTCTCTATGTCCATCCATTTATAAGCAAATTTCATGACTTCATTCTTCCTAATGGCTGAATAGTATTCCATTGTGTAGATGTACCACTGTTTCTTTATCCAGTCGTCTGTTTTGGGGCACTCAGGTTGTTTTCAGATTCTGGCTATTGTAAGTAGTGCTGAAATGAACATAGGAATGTAAATAATGTTTTTACTGTGTGTTTTTGGGCCCCCAAGGTATATTCCCAAAAGTGGTATTTCTGGGTCAAAAGGGAGTTCAATTTATAGGTTTTTTGAGGAATGTTTAATATTGCTTTTCCCAAAAGGCTGAACAAGTTGGCATTCCCACCAACAATGTAGGTGAGTCCCTTTCTTCCTGTATCTCTGCCAGCACTGGTTACTCTTGTTCTTTTGGATGTGTACCAATCTCTGTGGTGTGAGATGATATCTTATTGTTGTTTTAATTTGCATCTTCCTAATGATTAGTGGTACAGAGCATTTTTTCATGTTCCTTTTGCCCTTTTGAATTTATTTTTTGAAGAAGTTCTGTTCCTCTCCTCATTTTTTATGGTGTTGGATTTTTTTTTTTGTAAAATACTACCAGTGTATTACATAACTTTGATATTATCCCTTTATCAGATGGGTATTGGGTAAATAAGTTTTTCTATTCCATGAACCCCCTCTCCTTCCTGGTTGAACAGTTCCCTCCACCCACCATTGCTTTAGTGTTCCTTTCCCTGTCCTATTCCTCCCACCCTCCACCCAACCCCCATAAATGGCAAGCTTCTTACTGAATACCAGTTATTATGTTCTTTGCTTTTGTTGGCTCTGAGAATTTTTTATTCCACTATTGCATTTCTTTATATCCCACATATGAGAGTGATAAGTCTGTGTTAGTCTTTCTTTTTCTGACTAATTTCACTCAGCATGGTAATCTCAACCCATCCATGTAACAGCAAATTACATTTTTACCTTCCCTTATGACCAAATAATATTCCATTGTGTATATGAACCATAGTTTCTTTATTCAGTCATGAGATATTTTACTAATAGACTCAAACTATCTTTTCACAATTTATGTTGATCAAACTAGGTTCAAAAACAAAGAAATGGACAGCATTGAAGGATAAAAAACCTTGGTTCTATATTTAAAAGGTAGGAATACAAAGCAAGAGAGGAGTGAACATCTGGAAATAAAGAGGTTAATTAACAGTGATATAGAGACATTGGTAGAGGGTCGGGAACTTTGGTAATGATTTACTGTGATAACTGTGTATATCAAATCTATAAGCATTAACACTTATAAACATGTAACCAAAACTTTGATAGTAAAAGTTTAAATATAGGGGCTGGAGCGATAGCACAGTGGGTAGGGGGTTTGCCTTATATGTGGCTGACCTGGGTTTGATTCCCAGAATCCCATCTGGTCCCCTGAGCACCACCAGGGATAATTCCTGGGTGCAGAACCAGGAGTAACCCCTAGCAACACTGGGTGTGACCCAAAAAGCAAAAAAAAAAGTTTAAATATGAAGTAATGAGACAATATTCTTGTTCCAAATACTATTTATTTGGACATGACTTACTTAGCAATGATACTTGCCAATTTTCTTCATCTTATGTAAAATCCATCAGGTCCAGAGTGAAGAAATGTTGGTACCAGAGGAAGGTTGTCTGAGCCAAAAGTCATTCAGGGTCATTCAGGCTGACAGACATTTCCACCACCTTCATCAACTTGTTTTCAAAGTCTTCTTGAACATTGGAATTTATTTATCATACCGGAGAAGAGAAAAATACAGATTGTTGACTGTGGACAGTTTTCATAGGCCAAGCCTGGAAGTGGTGTCTGTCAACATGCCATTGTTAGGATCTCTGTGACATGGTTCTACCTATCTTTCAGAGAGACTAAAAAAAGAGGCTTAGCTGTGTACCAGAATATTTGGTTAAAAGCTCACCAATCTCAACAGATGGATTTTATGATGCATTATAGTTGAAATAACTTCCTATTTGACTTTAGGTAAGTTTCTTCATTGTCACTAGTTCTGCAAGTTTCATCATCTGTAAAATGGGAATAGATATACTATCTTCCTAGTTATGAAGGTAACGAAGCCTATCTAAACTTCCCTGGAGCATTGAAATATATGCAAATATTATGTATGTAGAAAAAAGTTTTGAATGTAGGAGCAAATAGGTTACTCCTCTAGCAGGAGTGGTACTAACAAGTTGGTCTAAGTCATAGAGACCTAGAGATTTTGTGCTAAAATTAAAAAATTTTAGCTTTGAGCCTGAGACTTCAGACTATCTGGAATGCATTTGCTATTACACACCAGAGTCAACATCTCCCAAGCCATGACCTGATGCCCTTCTAAATCACATCTTACCACCACTAGTCTGGCTGGCCCTTCCCTGAAACATACTTACCTAAGATTTTTAAATGAACTATCTCAACCTCATTATGCTAGTCAAGGGTATCTATGACACTGAGTCTCAGGATAGAAACCTTCCCAATAAATCAGAAAACTTTTCCTATCAAAAGATTGACCCCAGAGTTATGCACAGACTACCTATGTTAATGTATTAGAGTTACACTGTGAATCAATAACCAAACATATTTCCTCTTTCATGCTCTTATTCCCTGTGAAAATTTCTCAGGCAGAGAATGAGGAGAATTCTATATTTGGCAAAATTAGTGGATTTCTAATTTTGTTTTGTAGATATATTTAAAAGATTGGAGGGAAAAATACACA